GTACATGACTTGCCTTTTGAGCTCCTACGATCTGCGAAAGAAACTGAAGAAGGAACTAGTTGAGCAAACTGCCAAGGATACGGAACTCAGTCCCATCCTTGAGCAGATCAAAGCTGACCCTATCAGTCAGCCTGATTTCCACGAGTGTGAAGGTTTGCTCTTCCAACGCTACGAACAGTAAGACCCATTGTGTGTACCCAACCATCAGCCCATTCGTACTCACTTCTTGGACTTGGCTCATGGCCGGAGTGGACACTTTGGTTTTGAGAAGACATCGGAAGCCTATTAGAAAAGTTTACATGGCCTGGGATGAAAGGAATGGCGCGAACGTTTGTGGCTGAGTGTGAAGTTTGTCAACCCATCAAACCATCTCGGCAAAAACCTTTTGGGCTGCTGCATCCTCTTCCTATCCCTGATGACCCTGGTGAGTCTGTCTCCATCGACTTCACAGACATGGGAAAGAAGAGCAAGAACGGATATTCGCAAGTGATGGTGATCGTTGACCGCTTTTCAAAATTTCTGAATTTGATTCCATTGCCACCTCATGCCCCAACTGACCTTGTGATCGAGGAATTTAACAATGGGTACATTCTGCAGTATGGCCCCCTGAAGATCCTTGTGAGTGATAGGGACACTAGGTTCATAAGTGCAGATCTATGACATCAAACTCAAGATGACGTCTGATCGACATCCCGCAACCAGACGGTGATCCAACTTATCCGCACTCTAATTGTGGCTGATCAGAACTCTTGGGATGAGGAATCACCGATTGTGCAGGGGTTGTACAACAACTCCGTACACTCCTCCACCAGGATGACACCTAATCGCTTGCACCTCAGGTGGCAGATTCACTATCCCCTATCCTATATGTTTCCTGATCCGACACCTGGTCTAACACCTGGCCAGCCTGGCCATAGTGCTAAGTTTGATCGCTTGCTCAGCGTTGCTCTTGCAGCTATGGAGAGGCGATGCAGTGCCATGATTAAACCTGATAAGAAGAAGCGCCAACCTGAACCTTTCACAGTGGGAAGTTACGTCTGGGTCAAACTGTCTGAGTTTTGTGAAGGAGAAGGTGTGTCGCGAAAGCTTCTGCCTCAGTATTACGGTCCGTGGAAGGTGCTGAACAAGGTGGGGAATCATTCATTCGGTCCTCCTTATACGATTGATGTGCCTTCTCATCTGCTCACGTACCCAATCTTTCACGCATCAATTTATTTCCATATTGGTCGCCTGAAACTTTTCGGTATCGAGAGTCGATGGTCCCTCGTGTGATCAATGGCAGTCATGGGATTGATAGAATTGTCGAGCACAGCGGAAAGGGGACAAACAAACAATACAAGGTTCATTTTTTGTATCACCCGTAAGATGATTTCTACTGGATTTCTAGGAAAGATTTGTTGCAGAGTGCACCCCGAGTCGTCAAAGCATACGAACTACTGATTGTCCCCGAACAGCAACCGAAGTTTACTGCCTCCCTCATTCCCACTGAACATACCCGATCACTCTTTGCCATCTACGCCTGTGATGCGCTGTGCAGGGAGTGTGGGCTCGCTTGAAGGGACCTGACTCTTAAGGGGGGTGGTGTAATGACCCGCCAAAACACAGAAAGAGGACACTGCTGATTTCTGAGTTTTGCCGCTGGAATGGGTGCCTTGCTGAGATTCCCGCATTCTGCTAAGTTTTCTAAGTCTGTGTGTGTGTTTGTGTGCTTGATGGTCTGCGTGCCTGTTTTGCTGGTCGGCCTGAGTGTATGTGTGACCCGCAAGGGTACTTGCTTGTTCGGGAGGCCCGTAGGGCTAGTGCTTACCTGTGGCCGTGACATTGAGGGTTGCAGGGGGCGAAAACACTCAAGTAGCAGGTACGCCAGTACCACACCAAGTAGAAGTAGATGTGCCGGGTACTCGAGGCTGAGCAGAAGGAGACAAAAGTTGGCATTTTTAGAGGCCCAGTAGTTGTAGGCTAGGTCTAGGCGGGGACCAGTCCAACCAGTCTGAGTCTAGGGCCTGTACGGGCAATATCAGAGTGTGCAATGATGTTTCCCTCTGAAAGGGAGGAGGTACCGGTTGCTTGGAGGCCGCGCGGCCTAGGAAGTTGCCGCCTAAGAGGCAAAGTAAGCCACTATATCTCCAGGAGGAGCAAAGTGCTCCTCATTCTTCGGTTTGCAAGTTTGGCGACACACTGCTTGGAGTGTTGACTGGAGGAGCGCTGGCCGGTTCAGCGCTGCTAGGAGGAAGGAGACCGGGAGCTTCCACCTCGGCTATGGTGTAGCCCTACCGGTAGGAGGAGGAGGGAGAAGAGGACTGAGGAAGAGAGTGGCGAGGTACTTACCTTGCTATGGTTGGCACCATCTTCATCACCTTGTTAAGCGTTGCATCTGGAAGGCCCCAGTTGTGGTTGCGCCGCACCAAGAAGGCTTCAAGGCGGGGTGTGGCATACTGCGCATCCACACGGGCCTGCAAGGCCCGACCAAACAAGGAAAGTAAGGGCCCTACAGGCCCTGCGTCGTTTTCAGCCTGAAAGCCTGAAAACAAGGGCCTACAGGCCCTGTGTCGTTTTCAGCCTAAAAGCCTGAAAACAAGGGCTTACAGGCCCTGGGTCGTTTTCAGCCTAAAAGCCTGAAAACAAGGGCTTACAGGCCCTCTGTCGTTTCAGCCTGAAAGCCTGAAAACGAGGGCCTTCTAGGCCCTGAGTCTTTTCAGCCTGAAATGGAGGGCCATTTTCGGGCCCTCATAAAGTTGACCTGCCCTGAAACTTAGGCACCAGACCAGGGTTTTTAGCACAGGCCATTTTTGGCCTGTTTTCAAGACAACCTTTGTTTGAACTTCAACACCAGGGTCTGGCACGTTTTGAGCAGCCTCCTGGACGGGCCAGCACTATATAAGACTGGCCCGCCCTGCAGGCAGAAGGCAGAAGGCAGGAGTAGTCTTCAGGATTCGGCAGCAGCACCACTCTGGAGGAGCGCTGCAGGAGTAGCTTGAGCTGTAGTAGTAGTCTTCAGCGCTGGGCGCTGGTAGGGGTAGAGTAGCGTTGGAGAGAGAGATGGCTGGCGGAGGCCAGGGAGACTTACCTGTGGCGCCATAGCTCCAGCTTCATCTTCGAGGTACCTGCATCAAGGCGCCAACTTCACAGTTTAGTACCGGACTGAGAGAGAGAGAGAGAGTTCTTCTTCTTCCTCTTTTAAGTCCACCATCTCTTCTTCACCCTCTCGCTACCTGACTTCTCAGCATCTGCGGACTACGAGAGAGAGAGAGAGTTGTGACTTTGGGACTTGATGACATTGGATCCAGACTCGACATTGGGATTTAGACATTTGGCGAGGGATTATTTGGAGCCTGTGCCGAAGACTTGCTGTTGACGACAGTCCCGTCTTCTTCTCTTCTTCGTCTAACCCCGCTCTTCTTCGTCTGTGTATGGTTGGGGACTGGCGCATTCTTCCTGTGTGAGCGCCAGGCCCCTTCACACCATGGAATGATGATGATGTATGTTTGGGGATGCATGGCAACATTGATTGTTCGGATCATTGGTATCTAAGTCTTCCGCTATGCTATCTTGTACTTTGTGAGAGAGGTCGGTTCTAGTTCTGGTCTGCACCTTCACGGTATGCAACACCGGGTCAGGCATGGCGGCCTTAACAGCAGCGTGCATCGCTGCTTTGTGTTGTCCTTTGCACCGCAGGGCGAGGCCCTAGTAGTCAGCCATAGCTTTGGCCTACATGAAGAGGAAGAAGAAGGGTGGCCATGGCTATGGTGGACCTCATGTTATGCCTGCAGTAGAAGAGGGATTCGGCACCATCTTCATCACCTTGTTAGGCGCTGCATCTGGAAGGCCCCAGTTGTGGTTGCGCCGCACCAAGAAGGCTTCAAGGCGGGGTCAGGCATGACGGCCTGAACAGCAGCATGCATCGCTGCTTTGTGTTGTCCTTTGCACAGCAGGGCGAGGCCCTAGTCGTCAGCCATAGCCTTGGCCTACATGAAGAGGAAGAAGAAGGGTGGCCATGGCTATGGTGGACCTCATGTTGTGCCTGCAGTAGAAGAGGGATTCGGACATTCATTCTCATTCAGCCATTCAACATTATTATTGCTATTTATTGTTTGAATAAGAGGGGAGGAGAAAAGGAGGGGGAGAGTGGTTGGTGAAGAAGGGAATTGGTCTTTGCTGGTGTACATCTTCTTCTTCTTCTTCTTTCTTTCTTTCTTCTTCTTCTTCTTCTTCTTCTTCTTCTTCTTCTTCTTCTTCTTTTTCTTCTTCTTCTTCTTGTGAACTTCGAAATTGGCCAGGATCATAACAACACCAAAATAGTTTATGAATCCAGGAACCATGCGTTCGTGAGCAACATGGAACAATTGGCTCGAGAAACCATCCAGCGAACAGCACAGCAAGATTTCACTGGTTATGGATGTGCTCTATCTCACCTTCCAATGGTGGTAAAATAGTGGTAGAAATAGCACACACACTTTTCCTTGTGCCGGCACATAGTGTGGCGTCAGAGTTTCTATAGTACATCATACAACAAAAATCTGAATGCAACTTGCTTCCTACTCGTCACTTTTTATGAGCTATATCTACCCTGGGCCATGGAAAGGACAAGATTGCCCCTACTTGCAAACAAGAAGATATGATGGCACTGCCCATCCTGTACTGGCCTGGAGACCCAATCATATTCGAAATCAGGCATGGAAATGGTGTCTTTTTGTTGCTACAAAGATGCGATGTGGACCTCGGTCCTATTGTGAGCTGTCATTGGGGATATTTTATTTGATGTGTTGCATGACAGTTCTCTGGTTCTTTACTGCTTATGCAGAGGACTACAAATACCAGAAACTGTATCAGATGCACTGTACAACGACATGGTGCTAGATGGCCACACAGGCAAATGTGAAAGAAATGCAATGTCTTGGTGGTTTCGTGGGATGCTCGCTTCTCAGTTTATTACAAGTCCTCCAGCTTTCCTCATGTTCATCCCCTGGAAATGCAATTTTGTGTGATTTCCTTCCCTGCAGCAAGGCACAAAGGAGGTGGCACAGTTGCTTCACAGTCTGGTGTCACTCATTGATGGAGTCTTGCCCCTGCTGCAACGGCCACCCACAAGCTTTGTTGAGGAGCTGGATGTTGATCTTCGACAACTGATATTGCGCCATTCGCATCTGACTGTTGTTCAAGCCTGTGTGAAGTAAGTCTGCTGGGGTGAGCTCACAGTGCCCAGTCAAGTCGAGATGTCAAAAGTAAAGGGAAAGGGTAGTAAATCTTTAAGAAATCGGTAACCAATACAAACCGTGCACCCGCAGTACTCAGGATATAAAACAAATGAACCGAGTATGACAGCTGGGTATGACAATCACTCTGTTGTGCTCTCCGATTCTCACCATCTTACCTTGGTCCCCCTGCAGTCTGTTTTTCAGTACCCATCATCCATATATATATATCATGTTCCTGCTTTTCCTCCGTGTCCATGCTCTGTGCCGTTGATGGTCACCTCCATCTGTCCTCTATCGCCATCCATATGTATGTCATGTTCCTGCTTTTCCTCCGTGTCCATGCGTTGTCCCGTTGATGGTCACCTCCATCTGTTCTCTATCAGAATCGTTCATTCCTCCATTATGACCAACCTCAATGTAGGGATCAGACGTGTTGATCAAGGAGAGGGATCTTTCTGAAAGCCGATTGTGGCATTACCCGACTATGGAGTATGGAGCCAACTCACAAAGCATAGGTCTGTTCTCTTTGCGCCAGAGTGGGAAGAGTGGAGGAACTTGAGGGTTGGGCCATGCAAGGAGGGGCATGTGTATATGGGACATGAAAATAGGTATTCAGTGTGAGGTAGACTCTGACTCTCTCTCTCTGTCTGTCTGTCTCTCTCTCTCTCTCTCTCTCTCTCTCACACACACACACACACACACACACACACACACACACACACACACACACATTTGTCTCTCTCTCTCTCTCGTTCTCCCCTTCACAACTGCAAATGCTTTCTGGTCCTTCTCCTGAAGATCTTGTGGAGAAACTAAAATTTCCATCGACCAGAAGGAAAGGATGCCCAGGTTTTTGTCGCAGTCACGGAGGACAACCGAAACTCAATATGCTAAACCATGTAAGAATTACCCGCAAGTACGTGCCCCATCCAAGCCGCTCAATCAACGAAGGCATAGTCTAGCAAGACGGTCGTGTGTGTGTGTGTTCTATAGACTTTACTACTCCCCTGCTGAAATCCATCAGTCTGCTAGGTAGCGCCAGCCCACCTCGGGTTGGCGTAACAGGGTTGCAGGGGGGGAACTGGTGGGGTTGGAGCCAGAGCGCAGTATTTAGAGTGTGCTGATTTTGATGATTTTTCGTAGTTAGGCGTTTCGGGAAAAAAATCTGAAAAAGTCAGGAGGATAGACTGAGTGCTGATTTTTTCTGGAACAACTTCCGAACAAGTATTACCGAAATCAACAGTAGTTGTGGATTGCAAAATCATTCTGGTGGCAGACTATGCACTGTATGCAGCCTTATGCTTCCTGCGGCTACCCTCACCCCCACAACATTTTGGGCTGGTATTCCAGGCTTGGAAAAATGTGCCCATTGGTAAATTTGCTTTGGGGGCGGTGGCGGCTTAAACAATCACGGCAGCTACCCCTTTTCCACCAGGATGCAGAGATATCACAATTGGAGTCGAGTCTTACGCGGTGGTATTTTAGAATGATTGTCATGTTTTGGTGAAAATGGCTGTACAAAAGGGCTGATGTTTTGGTAACAGTCTTGGCCAGAAGATTTTCACAAGGAGGCTCAGACAGTGTTTGGTGTGGGTGTGATTCCCACGGGCTGATGTTCCGGAGCACATAGTGAGCAGGGAAGGTCTCTAGGGTGCCTCAGAAGTTTGATATCTGGTGTAGCAAGACGGTTTCTTGTGGGGTTAGGCCTGATTCGTAGACTATTCGTGGATGGACTCAGATGGCATATGGACGGAGTTTTGTGGGTCCCTTGCTTCGGGAGCTCGAACACTATCTGTGGTGGAACTCTTGGTGCCGTGCGTACCTTCCCTCCATGTGTGCTGTCTTTTTCCGATATGGCAGATCGCAGAGCTTACGTGTCAGCATGGTAGGGCGGATATGGCAGAATGTTTTTGGAGAATCATCATACAGACTGACTTGTAACTTCTGTTGTTGGGTGCAGGTTGGTTCATCTTTGCCAGCGCCCCTTTGCAAGTGTGCCACTGTGGCAGACGAGTGTGTGGGCATTCCACTCATTGTGGCTTTCTGATGGATCTGGTTTTGATCTTTGATTTGTCGGTGATCTTACAGATCAAACACAGTGCATCCTGCACCTTCTGCATGTGATAAGACACCCACATATGTGACAAGGCTATGCCCATACCTTCCGTCAACCTATTTGCAACCTGTATTCACCAATTTGCACTTCTCCTCTCGCGCTTTCCCTCACTTGCCACCTTGTCCCCCTCTTCATGACGCACAAATCCATATCCTTTTCACTACAGAAGGGTGCAGATTACTGCAGCACTATTCCTCCAACCCACACTCTGTACACTTTTTGATATTATCATCTTCCCAGCTTTCCCAGGGGTCATAACTGTCGTAGTCTGAGCTTGTAACTTGTCTTTTCTTGCCCCCAATGTGCAATTCCAACCTCGTCGTCAAATGGAGTAAAATAATGAGGCGATGGAGCTGCGTGTGACAACTACCATGAATAACAATGCACTGGAGAGGCTGGCCAGAGCAGAACATGACCCCAAACCTGCTGCAATAATGAGCAATGTACTGGAGAGGTGGAGTAAACCATACCCACGTAGTTGCTAGCCGCGCACCTGGGTCCCTCTAGCTGCTCGGGTGGGTTGCAGGGGGCTCCTGCATTAAGTCCAAAAAAAAAATCACCTGGAAAGGAATTATGATATGTAGAATGGCAACATAGGAACAACTTTTTTCTCGAGTGTTCCTTCAGAATTCCTTATCGAATGTAGGTTGGGGGGGGAGGGTGGGGCAGGGGACATGATAACGTACACCCCTACAAGCCCTTTTGAACCCCATTTGTACACCCAACCCCCCTCTCAGTGAACCATAACTAAACTGAGAAATGAAGCTGGATTCTGACTGCTCAGGCAAAGTGCAGATCTGGCCTAAGGTCAGCCCCTCTTCTCCTTCCCCCTTTTTAACCTGGCCTGGTTTACCTGGGCGATTGGGGTCTGGCCTGCCCGGGTGGGGCGTGCCCAACCAGGTGACCCGAGCAGCATAGATACACTCACGTCTTGACAAGGGCCCTGCTGAGGAAGGATAGAGAATGCTAATGGGGGACAACAGAGGGCCAGGTTTGTCTGACCGCTTCTGTCAGTTTCTAACTTGCTTGGTCCGTGTTGTATGTGGTGACAGATGCCTTTCCTCTCTGGGCAAAGTTGCTTCAAAAGGCGTGCAGTCATTTGAGTCCTTGACAAAGCTATGTTACACACGGCTTCGGAACCTTCGGAGTACCTCCCCAGATCCAAAAGAAAAGATGGTAGGTGTTGTTCTCATACACTTTTGTAACGTAGTGATATATCAACCGTGAAGTCATGTTGTTTTTTCCCAAGAAATGGGGATGTTTCTCTTTTAGCTTGAGGAATTGGTGTGGGCGCTCCAGAGAAGGGGCTTTGAGGCATATGAGAAAGGGGTTTGGGGGGGGTAAGGCAAAGCAGGGAAAGAGGGGCGTAAGGGGGCGCAATGGGATGCAGAAGCAGTTCGATGTGTCATAGGTGAAGGGAGTTTGGGGTAGATTGTCATGATGTATTGTTGGGATGGGGAGGAGCGAATGTGGAGTCGAAAAGGATTGGGAATGGGATGAGGGACTTAGATGGTTGGAGTGCAGGGTCTGCCAGGAGGTTGGGATAGAGAAGGGGGGTCTTCAAGGGGGGTGAGAAGGTGCATCAACAGTAGACAGGCCCCCAGCGGGGGCGGGCCGACGGGGCAAGAGAGGAGGGGGGCGTGGGGGGTGTCAGAGATTGCGAAGCTTGAGGGTAGGTGGAAGTACATGGGTGACGGGGGATGTTGTCTTCGTATTTTCTTTCTCTCTCTCTCCATGAAGGGGTCAGTGGGTTGGGGTATGTGGAAGGTTTCTGTTTTTGCCTTTATCTGACAAAGGAGGGAGAGAGGGGGGTGGAGGGGGGAATGAGAAGTACTCGGGAAGGGACGTGGGAGTAGATTATCCCTAATCTTTTGGGGCTTTCCAGGGCATGCTATTTTTGGATTCTTTTTCTTTATCTACGGTGAGAAGGGTTGGGGGATGAGGATGCTCAAGGTGAAAGAAAAAGACAGAAGCAGATGTCGTGCAACAAGAGTGAAGTGTAACCAATTCGTCATGGGAGCAGTATGAGAGGGATTATGTTGTTTTTTTCCCATTTCCACAGAATGGGGTTGGGATCGAGGGAAAAGAGGATAAGTTTCTTTGTTCTTTTTCTTCTTCTTTTTGCTATGTTTCTTAAGCTTCTTTTGTGGGTTGTGGGTCCTGCCAGGTGCTAGCAGCAGCAGGGCCTGGCCAAGACCCAGCCTTGAGAGCCCCTGGCTGTTTCATTTCCAAACCGAGCCCTCCTACCGGCTCACAGACAGGATGGGCAAGTGCTGGCATCTCGCTGGATCCCATCCATGCAGACAGATGTGGGCAACCTGAGGGCTGCTGAATGTAGGGCCTGATAACATGGCCTTTTTTCTCTGAAATAAAAGAGTTTGGCTTGGAGACAGCCAATGTAGAAGTTGAATGCAGAGGCCGACTGGGCGATTGAAAAAGCCAATGGAAGATTTGAAATTTGAACCCGCGGCCCACATGTGCCTTGCTAGCCCCACATTGGCCAGCATAGGCGGACTCAGTCTTGGTTGTGAGCCAAGGTCTGTAGTTGCAGCGTGCATTATACTTTGTGGTGTCCCTTCAAGTTCCGGAGTGGGGTAGTAGCTGATATAAGTGCCTGAAAGGACTCTCTCTGTAGCTACTGTAAGGAGAGCGATTAGGTTAGTCCTGGTTATTGTTGCCGAGGTTATGAAGGGGAACATTTTCTCTGCGGCTGAGTGTTCATACTTGGGAGTTTCAACCTGTTCTGGATGCTTGTTCTACTTGTGTATACTTGCACTGCTGGTCGGGCTGGTCATCATCTGTTGGTTGAATAGTTGGGGTATGATATTTGCTCTTGCATGTTTTGCTTTTCATTTTGTGGTCTCAGAGTCTCAGTGGCTTTTGACTCATGATTATCAGATGCCTCGCAGGTGAGCTGATGCACTGTTGATTGCTGGTCTGAGCTATGATCAGCTATCATGAGTGCATGTTGCAGACTTTAATATCCTGGCATTTGGTGTCTATGTCAATCTTATACATTTTGCAGTTTTACCAACTCACACCCATTTTCAACCATTTGCCTTGTGCCCCTCCCACGGTAAAACACCCTTTGTGCGCTTCCGGCTGCAGATTATTCTTCGGTCCTTATTTGTTCTTAGTCAACTCTGCCGGTATGGAGCTGAGAATGTTGACAAGATGGCAGAGTACAGTATAAGCATGAATGGTGCTCTGAATCTGTTCTTGGAGCTTTTCCAAAGCAATGATGCAGTCGTAAGGATGAGAACGCTGCAGGTATGGCTCCTTTTTTTCCCATTTCTTCCTCCTTCAGATCTTCAGCTATTTTGTTTTTGTCTACGAGTTGTTCAGGATATCACGTTCTCCTCTCTGGTTTTGCTGCCTTAGTTTGGCTCTGCATTGGCAAGGGCGGCACTCCATATGTTGTTTTGTGCAAGATTCACTATCCGGCCGAAATCGGTGACACATTGTTGTTGTTTTCAGAAAGGGTGAAGCAGCCCACCCACCGGGAAAAGACGGGAAAAAAAAAGACTCCGTGTCTTCACTGCCTGAAAACTTATCATGGGGTGGGCAGCGGAGAAGACAAGAAGATAGTCCTAGATACTCTCAAAGTTCCGAGTACAAGATCCGATACTACGGAAAAAAAAGGAAGGGACAATACCGAGATGAGGAGGAGAGATGGAGGAGGAGGAGGAGGAGGAGGAAGGGGAAGATGTGGAGGAGGAGGAGGAGGGGGAGGAGGTGAGTTCGAGGGAGGGCAGGATGGCAGGTGAAGACTCACCTTCGAGGAGGGTTGAAGTCGGTGATGGTCGCTCCAGAGCTCAGCCTTGGTGATGATGCAAATGCAGGGGGAGGTCGGCGCTGCTCGTAGCGGGGGGCTGACGGCGCTGCTTCCTGGAGTGGACTGGAGGCGGCTGCAACAACGAGTAAACGGCCCGCTGAAACCCTGCCAGTATCTACTGCGAAAACTATGAAAAAGGCAACCCCCACCCAAAATCAAATTCGAAATCGTTTCAGGCCGCGCTTGAGAGCGACCCGCTAAAAAAACAATTGGGCCCCAAAATCCATTTTTGCTGGGGGGCCGAACCAGCGATGAATCGACATCCCGGCTTTTTTTTTTTTTTTTTTTGAGTTTTGGCCTGGGCCTTTGTGCGCCGTGCAGGTCGTGTGCCGCTCCGTTGGGGTGCGCTTGAGCGCCAATGGTCCGCAAATCAGCGCACGACGTGCGCTTGCACGTATGTATCGAACTAGTGCTCAGACGGCAATCACGCATGAAAGGAGTATGGTGATTCGCAGTCACAAAATTTGTGAGCCGGGACTATCAGCCTTACCTTCAGCACCCACATTTGTTTGAGAAGTACCCTTGCAGCTTGAGACAAACCCCAAGAACAGACACCATATGTGAAAGGCACCCCCCCTCCTCCACACTTGACAAAACAATGCGGTGATGTCACTCTGTAGTCAAACAATGCGGTGATGTTAGCCTGTAATTAAACAATGCGGTGATGTTAGCCTGTAATCAAACAATGCGGTGATGTTAGCCTGTAATCAAACAGTGCGGTGATGTTAGCCTGTGATCAAAGTGCAAATAGCAGAAGAAAAGTACGGAACAGATAAGGGGAACACGTGTAAGATTTTTGGCCTCAAGGCTTCACGCTTGCTCTGTTTGGCTTTTTTAGGGCCTGGGGTACCTGTTCGTGGCAAGGCCCGACTACATGATGGCAAAGAATGTCGATGCTGTGCTGAGGTCAACGCTTGCCCCGGGGCAGGATTCCCACATCAAGGTGAGACTCAATAACCTTACCTGCAGGAAATGCCAGTAATATTTTTTAACTGAAGTTCATGAACCACGCGAGTTGCATATGCATGTTGAGCTTGCTGCATGTTCTTTCTTCTAGCACTTCGATGTCCACCAGCCTGGATATGTGAGGGATGATGGAAATGCACCTGCCACTGGCATATGTTGCCAGATGAAATGGAAAGAGCAGAACTGCCCCTCTATGACATCCTATTTGCAGATATCCTGTCGCAGCGGACTCTGATGACCCAGTGGCAGTGCAGCATACTCTCGTTTCCAGGGCTGCATGTGAAGGTCTTGCCAACCCTCTCCCATGCCTTGTGAGGCTGCAGGGCCACGACTGCCTGATGATTGGGACAGTGCCTCTGTGAAGGGTAAGGTCTGTGACTTGGGTTCTATCATGGGTCATTTTCTGTATGAACTAGTGTAAAGTTCCGTGCTTGTTGCAGGGGCATCTTTCTGATAGTGTAATCTGGGAGTCACATTTGCGTTGCCAACATTGTACCCCTGGAACTCAATGTGGGATGCCAGAAAATCGGAAAAGGAATTGCAGAGAGAGAACAATGATTGGGACAGTGCCTCTGTGAAGGGTGAGGTCTGTGAATTGGGTTCTATCATGGGTCATTTTTTGTATGAAGTACTATGAACTAGTGTAAAGTTCCGTGCTTGTTGCAGGGGCATCTTTCTGATAGTGTAATCTGGCAGTCACATTTGCGTTGCCAACATTGCAACCCGGGAACTTAATGTGGGATGCCAGAAAATCGAAAAAGGAATTGCATATAGAGAACAATGAAGGAAGAATCTTGACGAACAGGGAGGAAGTATGTTTTCTTCTCACCCTGCCAAGTCATTTTAATGGAAAACGTAGAGAAGGAGGTCTGTGAGATATTCTTCATTGGTGTCAAAATTGGACTTTTGGGATGCTGGAAAGGAAAGAAGAATCGAAAGAATTAATATAGATGATCGTTGATCACCAACAAGGATAGAATTTCAGGCCGATGTTATGATTCCAGGATGTGTGTCAAGTAGAAAACGGCCCAGGTGACCAGGTCTCAAATATCTCATCATCTCAGTTCAGCGTGTGCCTCTTTGTTTGTTCCGTCCATGCCTTTTTTCCTGCAGTGGATGCTTGGAGCCTTACTCTCCAATTTCTCACCTTCTGAAAATAAGAGACAGAGAGGGGAGTCCTTCAGGACATCCGTTAAATTGGAACGATACAGAGAAGATGAGCATGGCCCCTGCACAAGGATGACACACATAAATCGAGAAATGAAGAAAAAGAAAAGAGAGAGAGAGAGAGGGGACAGCAGGGATACTAGAAAAATGGAAATGAAAACAGATAGAAAGAGGACCTGAGTGAAAGAGTGTGTGTGTGTGTGTGTGTGTGTGTGTGTGTGTGTG